CAAGTACGAAAAACTTTGTGGCAATGAAAATGGATCCGACTTCGAAAAAAGTGACTTTCTTGATTTTGAAACGAAAATCAAAAACATGCAGAACCTCATCGAAAAACTTTTTAATAAACTGGACGAATTGGACTTTCAGACAACAAGTTTTAATGCAACACTGCAAATTTGCCAGGAAAATGTGGAAAAATTATCTAAAGTTAAATTTGAAGTTCAAGAGTTACAAAACACTCATATATGCTCAACGGCTTCTTCGGAACGTCCCAAACGTTGGTCTCCCAAAGATAAAACAGGAAGACAAATAAATTGCTTAATGATTCAAGATGACTTAAAAGATCGCATTAGGGAACTTCAAAAAGAAAAGGAAATCCTGGGTAAAAAACTACAAAAATTGACGAAGTGCTGCCAGAAAATGGATCAACTCGGCGTGCAAGCCGACCATTTAAAAAATACACTAAAGCAAATGAACCAGACCTACAATGTACAGATAAGATCTCACGAAAATCAATTTAAACATATTCAAAAAAGGCTGGAAGAGACACTTAAGGGATTAGGCAACATTAATAAATCAAAAATTAGCAAGGGTTTTCAGGAACAGCTAAAGAACATCGATACAAAAATAAACACAGCCTATTTAGCGTTGGAAAGTCTAAGAGGGAAACAAAGGGGGACTTTGAAGGTTATAGAGGGCACTAAAAATGCAGAAGGCTTGTCAAATGAGATGGAGAGGCTTATAAAAGATTTCAATGGAATTCGTCAAAAAGTTAACAGACAGTTACAGGATTTTAAAGAGAACAAGTTAGGTGAACCGTCAGCAAATGTTAAGGGTGGCTATAAATATATAGAGCAACTTAACGATATTGTTCGCCGGGATTTGGATAGACTAAAACAAACGCTTTTGAAGCATGACGATCTGGAAAAGGAGGTCAAAGATAAGATAGACAATCAGCAAACGCCTTCAAATCTAATGATTGATTGCCAAAAAAAGTGCAAGGGGATTAACAAGATAACAGAACTTATTGATCAATTGGAGGACGCGGAAAAACTAGCTAAGACTTCATTAAAACCAAAACCAATTCCAAAACCAATTCCAAAACCAATTCCGAAACCAGTTTCCAAACCAAATCCAAAGCCCAGACCAACACGAAAAAGAGCTGGCATAACCAAATCTGATGTTAGAATTGGTGGTGTTGATTATATCCCTACTGGATAGTACAAAATTTGTTAGTAAGCTCTTTCTTACTGGTTATACTGACTAACTTGATGTTGTCATTACTTAAAACTTAAAACAACACATTCCAAAATTACTATATGCAATAATAATAATTAATATGTGCTTTTATCCTCTGAAATAAACTATATGTTAAATTCGAGTATTTTTCTATTTTTTTCTTGGGCTAAAGGGAATTCCAAATGCCTTAAAAAAATTATTCATTTCTGTATGTATTCTTTTGTATTGTATTTGCACTTCAATATTCTTGAATAAATAATTTAAAAATAATTCTTAACAAAAAATTACTTTAAAAAAAATAGATTCTGGGTCATTATTCTTGAAATTGAGGTTTATTTTTTATTGCATTTGCACTTTAATGTACTTTATATTTTATTGTATTCTACTTAGTTTTTATCAAAATATTTTCCTCGATCAATAAAACAAACCTAATTGAACGTTATATCAAGACGTTTTCGTTAACTGAAAAAAATTGTTTAATTTATTTACTTTAAACTTGTACGAAAACAAAATTTGTATCTCTAAAATAATGTTCAGAAAAAAAATTGCTTGTATTAAAAGACTTTCTGGATATCAGAACCAGTTCGGAATCATATTTTAAAGTGAAATAAAAACATGTTTCTATATAAAACAGGTAAACTAAACTAAATATTCAAAACTATTTATTGAGCCCGGTAACGAGTTGTACCGACCAAAATTGAAAAATGCCTTTTGCTTTGTGAAGTTTTATTTCAAATTATGAAACTTCCCTCGACGATTAGTAAACACAGCATGCAAATCGATTGGTGGTCACCGCTCTTTGCAAAAGGTTACTAGTAGTTTTCTCTCTTTTTGCCAGTTAGTTGAACTTGGCAGACCGGCGACAGAAGTCCGTGGACCGCAGTAAACGTGACGAAAATGAAACCAAAGGTGAGTTGAATATATAATACTGCCGAGATGTGTTCATTCAACACTGCGAATGTCATGCACAGGTATTGATTGCGTCACTACTACCACTGCTATCTGCAATTGCATCGATGGGGTCCCATCACACTCATCGCAATGGAAGGCTTTCTAATCAAATAACAGCACCTCCGAGGTATGGAAAGTGCGAAGACTACAAAGATATTTCCTCGTGGACGGCTGAGCAGCTGAAGCTTTATGCCCAGTTGCGGAACTTCCAGACAGATCTGGGTACCCTACTGAGCTCTCTGAATGGACCGACACCTTTAAAGAAGTGTTGCTTCTTTGAAGAGACGACTTTGAAATTAATCATCAAAAATGTCAATGAAATAGATCAAGAAATCGGAATACAAAATAAGCATTTGGAACAGAGCGGAGATCTGGGAGAGGATCTGGATAATATTTTACCCAAAATCAAAAAAGCCGTGCTTAAGGGCTTTAAAAGTTGTTGTGAGAACGTGCGAGACTCAATTAAAAAGCTTAAAGCTGATCTGGAAGAAAAAGTAAAGAATATGGAAAGAAAATTAACTGAGGTAGAACCTGAAAGCTCCAGACAGAATAATGAGATGCAGAATATACTTAAAGACCTTATGGATAAAATGAAGGTCCTTAAAACACACTGGGAAACGATGGAAAAGCAATTATCTAACCAGGGGACAAATACCCAATGCTTTGCTGAACTGAAAGAAAATGTGCTCGAGTTGGACAATAAGCTAATAACGACGAAAAGTAAAGCAGATTACTATATCCAGAATATAGAAAATCAGCTCAAAGAGCTTGGGGAAAGGCAACGAAATCAGTATGTCTTAATGACTGCTCTAAAAAAAAATACAGAAGACCGTGGCGAAAATATTAAAAATATGCTTGACAAGTGCAAGGAAAATTGCGGAACTGAAAATGATTTCGACCGCATAACGCCTGACCTTGTTGCTGTGGAAAAGCAATTGGAAAGCTTAGGGACGATCATTAAAAATCGTTTTATACTGGGACCATCATTTTATTTAAATGCAAGCCTTCACACTTGCCTGGAAAATAAAGAGAAGTTAGACGATATTCAATCTCAACTTCAGGAATTGCAAACTGAAAAAAATAAAACCTGTCTTAAGTCAGCAAGCTCCAGAACTAATGAGGCTTTCAATGATATTTCAATAAGCAAAGCCAACTGTTCCATTGATGAAAATTTAAGTTTTAGGATTTGGGAACTGCAAGAGGATGATTTTAGTCTGCGTGAAAAGCTTGAAAAGTTTCCCAATTGTTGCTCGAAAATGGATGATTTAGACCTGCAAACTGATCTATTACCAGCTTTGCTTAAGGAAATGAACCAAACCTACAATAATCACATTAAAGAGAGCGCATATCATTTTAAAACCATAGGAGAGGGTCTAGACGAAACTCTCAAAGGGATGGGCGGTTTAAATAAATTAAAAAATGATGATAGTCTTCAAGAGCAACTAACGGATCTCAACAAAAAGCTAGACAAAGCTAAAACCACTTTGGAAACTCTAAAAGACAAAGAAGATGGGTTTTTTAACCACAAGGATGGATACAAAACTTTACCAAACTCGGCTGATGAGTTGGTAAGTCTGAAAAGGAATTTCGAGGAGTTGCGAGTTAATGTTGACAGGCAGTTAAAGGATTTCGAAGGACGACAGCTGAACAGCCGAACAGATGATGGCAAGGAATTACTAGAGAAACTAAGCATTGAAGTTAGCCAGAATCTGGATAAAATAAAAAGAAGACTTCTAGGTCCTGGCTCACTAGCAAAGCTAATTAGAGATCAAATAGCAGAGCAAAAAGAACAAGCGGCTATAATGCTTGATTGCCAAAAAAGGTGCACGAAACTAAACAAGTTGAATGATCTCATAGATCGAATCGAGGACTTGGAGAAGATTGTTCTTAGAAAGGTAAGACACCAAAACTGATAACAAAACCAAATTGTTTAATTTTCGAGGGGTACTACTTATATATTTGAACACAACCTTTTGGCAAGCTAAATTCTGGCCACACCGTAAAAAAGCTTTGCTCTTTTTAGCATAAACGAAAGATTTGATGCTCGGTCAAAAAGGGGTCGAGTAGTGTACGGAATCGATTTAAAAGTTCGACTTTAAAAGACGTGTATTACTGTGTAACAAATCATGGTATATTCGAAAGATCCAGACACAAAACTGCAATCGACCGTGTGAGTAAATCTTAAATGAGTTTACCCCAACAAAAGTTTTTCTTGGGAAAGTAAATGCTCTCCTGTTTCTTGTGAACAATTTTAAAAACAACAAAAAGACATTTTTATTTCCATGACAAATTTAAATAGTACCCCTCGTAGCAGTGTTGTATTTTAATAACTGCATTTATTTTATACAAATATTATCTGTATTTATATTTTCAGAAATTAACGACGAAACGAAACCTAAAGTTATAAATGCAAGTTTTCCAATTAACATTTTTTTCTATGTATTGATTTGCTTATTGCCATTTCTATATAGGTTAATTCCAATTATATATTTTTAATTAATTTGTCTGTACAGAATTATCCATACTGGTGAATTATATTGTTTACCTATGAAAAAGATATTTTACTTTGAATTGCAAACTGTAGGACTGCCGCCACGCAGTCGAATTAGAAATTATCATGTGTGTGTCTATCTCTTTCTGTAGGTATTGACCTATAATTTTTTGTTTAAACTTCCGTATTCAGCTTTCTTTCTTTTGAGTCATTTATCATTTATCATATCGTTTACCAAAATCACATCTAGTAAAATTGAATTTAAATTTATTGAGAAATGGAATTATAATATAGGAACCTACGGTATTGCGTATAAGGACTCCCTGAGACAGTTGTCAGTGGTGCACTTAATTTGAGATTAGTATCAAATTCGACTGAAGTCTATTAAAAATGATTCAAACGGAACTTACAAAAATCGACGATGCCCTGGACATCTGCTACTTGGTGGAGGAAGATCTGTACGAGTGTCTGAATCTCGTGAAGGGCATGACCCGGAAGACCAATGTTCCCGGGCGCTACACCTTTTTCATGGATTCCTTTATGGACGACTGTTCGCTGAACAGCCCCGAGCTCACGGATCAGGATGCTTCGTCCCTGAAAACTGTGGACTTGGAAATGGACATGCTGAGCCAGCTGTGCGGGGCCAGAACTGCCCAGGAGCTGGCCGACTCCTATGTAAATGTGCGGTACAAGTTTATCAAGCTGAAGCGCGATTTGGAGGGCACCATGTCGCTGTACCAGAGAATCTCCGACTGCGCGAGTTGCCAGGAAAGGATTTCCCATCCCATGCTTGAGGGCTCCTGGGGCAGCAAGAAGAGGTTGTGCAAGCACTAGGAATGCCAAGTCCCGACAACTATTCCATCAAAGGCGGCGAGCGTGTGCAAATTGCAAATTGTGTCGACACTTGGCAGCTTTTATTAAAAATTACTGCCACCATTAGCCGAATAGCACGGCACCTCGGGCGGGGGTAACTTTCCAAAACTCATTTGGCCCGACATGAAAATGAGGCAAAGTTTTTATCAGGGTCTCAGTTTTTCTGGTGTCTCGCGACACAAGTTTTTCCTGACGTTGAGCACGATGATGATGATGGTGATGATGGCAGGACAGTAACAAGTCAGCTGCATGTTTATGAGCACGACAATGGGTAAATACAAATACGGACATACGAGACGATGTGTGGGGGAAACATGAGAAATTGCCAGCGCAAAACTTGAGATAATGTAATGCAAAAGTGGCCCAGGACCAGACGCAACTTTGCCATAACGCTTTGCCAACTTGGCTCTGTGTTTGTGCAGCGTAATATTTGTGAGCATTATTTTATATTTTATATTTTGTTTCTGTTTCCATTTTTTGCCCCACCGCCCGAAAGGGGAACCTCGGCACTTCGTTAGAGGAACAAGTAGTCGGGAGAAGGACCCTGGTCGGCCAACTGGACGGCTGCAAGGACATAAAACAGTGAAGTTTTGCATATTTAAAGTAATATCAAGGGGAAAACAAACTTTTCTTTTTCATTATTATTCTTGTTTCTTTTTCTTGCTTTATTACCCCAAGGGGTAGAAAGTGTGCGGTCCATTGAGCAGAGTCATCGGGATCAGGAGGGTTTTGAATGGGGCTCAAAAGGTGTTCATTGAGTGAATGTTGCGGTCAATCTTTGTGATGAAATAGTCGAGGGCAGAGGTGCCATCGCCAAGTTTAAAGTAAGGGAAAAATGCAGGAACAAAGTAAGTGTTTCAGCTTAAGTTGAACTTAATTTAGCCAGCTTTAAGCAGGCCACAGCCGTTAATCGGTTAATTATTTTGATCACTCTCTGGTTCATTCGAATCATAAATTTACGTGCCCCAGTTTCTGCAGTTTTCTTCCAGCATATACCTATGATAACCGATTGAGTTCTTTTTTTCTACACAGTATGTGTACAAAGCAGGGTTATGATGCCAAGGCATCCCCTATTTATTTTTTTGGGTATACAAAAAATTTAGCGGTTTGTTAATTAAGTAAAATGTATAATATAACAATTTTAGGTACACAGAAAATTCAAAAATATATTACATTTTAATAAAATATACAGTTTAAATAATAAGTTTGCTTTTTGAAATGATTGCAATTCAAAAGCTCTCAGAAGAAGTCTCCTGAGAGCAGTTTTTCTCACTAAATTGAACAGAATCCAATGCTCTTTACATCTGACTCTAAGCTTTTAAATCTTAAAAATCGCTTGCCAAGTATTTTTAAGTCGGAGCCGTTGTCTAAATAGTGCTGACTTGTTATTTATACACTTCTTGTGCCCAATGGTGCCAGAGCAAACATTCGCCATTAAACATCGCTTTATGGGGCCCACAACTCTGCACAGCAATCGATTGATATGAGTTTGAGAATTTATTAGCACTTTAATGGCCCGGCCAGCCGACCTGGATCCAGAATGTGGAATACTTAGAGCTGGATTTGGCTTTCGCCATTCCAAGTGCAGCAGAAGTGCTTTAAGCATGCCCACTACCAATTTGTGGAGGACTCTCGTCTGCCAGTGGAGTCTGCTCTCCGGCAACTAAAAATAGCTGCCCAAAATCAAAGTCGAGAATGTGCAAGAAACGCCAAATTGTTTTGCACGTCTAGCCGCAAATCGAGTCTGGATTCCCTCTTCCGGCAACCTCATACTCGGTCTAAGTGTATCCGGAATAGGCATTTGTTCAATATCAACATGAGTAGCTGCAAAGTCCTCGGTTTTGGGTTGCCCGGAGCTCCAGAGCTTCTCGTTTCGCAGAATGTTTGTGTTGTAGGAGCCATTTAGAAAAGATTTGCCGAACAAGTTTGTTTAATTAAGATTTCCTGCGGGCCAGTTGATTGACTTTAAGTGCCGGGAACTAACTGAATTAATGAGGCAAGCCCCTCGCAAGATGAGCCCTCCAGACAGTGCCTTGGGAAATTACATTCACAAGCCGTTTGGGAATGCGGGCGAAACCCTTAGAACGAACAAATATTTGCTGGATTAATTCTAGCAGAAGTGAAAGGCGATCAAATTTGTTATTAATCTTGTGACAAGTGCAGAATAAAGAGTTCCGATAAGTTTGTTTATTTCATTTAAGTGTACCGCTTTGCATTAAGTAACTTACAGAAAAATACATAAAACAGTCAAAAGTTTCCTCCATTCCCCTTGAAATACTTTTTGAATTTAAAACAATTCATGATGACATTCAAGTTTACTAAATTCATCAAGTGATTTACCCATTGACAAGATTATTGAAGCATTACCCCAGTAAATTGCTTAAGGAATGTAACTACATTTTTCAGATACCATCTGAGCCACGCCCAAAAGGGATTCCATGTTAACTGAATTAATGACACAGCCCGAGGGAAAGCCTCAAAAAGTAGACAACAAACAGGAAAAAATGTCTCGAGCAGGCCACAGTTCATAAATATGTAGGAATCCCTCAAAATGGGCAAAGGGAAAACACGCTAAGCACTTCCGTATGAATAAATATTTAATCAATCAATTTCGACAATTTTCCTTTTCGGGGCTCAAATGCATAAACAGAATGGATACAATTTCATTTGCCGAATGATGATAACGATGAGCGTGATGAGGCTGCCTTTGTTGCTGTCGTTGAGGCATAAAACAAGTCAGACACATAAAAGTAGATTTGATTGAAATGCTAATTTCCACAGATTACCAACGGGAAAAGACTGCCGCGAAAAAAATTCGAGTTCAGTGCTGACGTTTAGTTCTTTTTTTATATAGATATGCTCTTTTTTAAAGGTATTTGTGTAAATAAAAATTGAATAACAGGATTTATGCTTTCTAAACTTACTTTTAGAATTAAACCTTATGGAAATCAATTCCATAGTTAAAAATTAATTAAATTGAAACAAACTGTTTTTAATTTTGATTAATTTTTTTTAATAAGCCAACCAAAAATAGAGAGATTGGAAAACTGGAAAAAATGGGATATTTTTTTAAGTTAAGAAAATTAAAAATAAATCAATATTGTCATTTTATAAAACTTTTCTTGGGTTGGTCCTTTTCTTGAACTGTTTATCCTTTTCCATTTATTTTTTTTTTACTATCAGTTTAGTTTCTTAAATTGAGTATTGGCAGCACTGCCCAAGTCGCTTAGAAATGGTCATTCGTTGAAGAGTGATAGTCATTACCATCATCATCAGTATCGGCAACAGCCAGAAAGCCTTGAAATATCTGTTGAGTGGGGACCTTCTGGCCAAATGACAGGACACTCCTCAGTCGAAACCCCTCAGCCACAGCCTTAGATTCGGTTTCAATTTCAGTTTCGATTTCAGTGGGATTGATTTCCCATGAAAGCCCGTTTTCCCTCTTTCCACTTTTGCCTTTTTCCCTGTTTGTGATTATCGAAATGTTATTAGTTCGTCTGCTGCCTGTGACAGGTTACATTGAACTTGGCAATTTTGGCCGTTTAGGTCTGTTCGGCGTTCAATATTCTAAAATGTGTGGATACCCCAAACCAGAAAGTGACGTGTGTGCGTGAATTTATGGGCTCGAGCTTGGTTTTTCGGATTTTGTGGCATTTTGTAATTGATTTTCATGTTAGGCTCATATTAAAATTTTAATGGATCGATGACGTCAGACGAGGGAGGGCTATTATCTGGGAGAGACTTCAAAGCATATAGTCGGAAATTAAAAGCTAAAATCGTAGCTTAATTTAATTAGTAATTGCTTTTATGGTTGGGTATTCAGAGAACTAATACAACTACTTCAATTTTAGTTTTGATTTTATTAACTTTAAATAAATATTAATAGAATAACCACTTAGAAACAATTAAGCCATATAAAATTAAGGGCAGCGTTCCGCTTATTTTAGTTGCGTCAATAAAAACTTAATTAGTCCTGCACTTATTTGAAATATCATTGCAGGGGAATTATGCTTATGTTTCTTATACATTCGCCTTCCTGGTCAGCGTGAAAGCTTCGAATTTATCTTGGAACTCGAATGCAGTTCTTCAACCATTCTCCGTCCACTCAGGCAGCCATTCATTCAGCCGAGTGAGTTCACTCAGTCAACTCGGTTATCACACACAGTGCGTAGTCACAACATTGAGGCAAAGTTTACTTAAGCATGAAGCTGAGAGTTGTGACACAATGCGACTCCGAGCGACTGGGAAATGCGAGGACTAAGGACTACATTCCCGGCTCTGGACCATGACAAACTGCCGCAGGAGCAGGATTCTGAGCGGGGGGCCGAGCAGCAGCTGCAATGTGCCACAGTTGCAACAGTCGGAGTGATAAACGTGCTCCACAATTGCTGCCACCAAGCATTGCCGAGATTTGCCAGCTGACAAAATGCTTTTGACATTTTTGCAAGTTAACAATAAAAATATTTCATAAAATTTAACGCTGCTGAGATGGCATTTTATGGCAAATCATGTTTGGCTTCATCTTTAGTTTTGCGCTCAGTTTCAGTGTCAGCTTGTTGTCAGCCCTGTCACATATATTTTTGCCAAGAAGTCGGCCGGTAGCCGACAAAGTTGAAGAATGTCCTTCCTTATTTATTGCTTTTAACATATTTGTTTGGCCCCAAGACAATCCGTCTTTGTATGTGAATGTGGCGAAAGGCAAATGCAAATTTCAGCCTCAAATTTCCCGACTTTGTCTTTCATTTTGGGGCTCGGCAAAGTTTTCGACGAAAACAAAAGGCCCTTGACAAAGTGCAGCTGCTCGGAATGGCTCTGGGTAACATTTTTGAAGGGCGGTCAATGAAAAGTTTATTGTGCGAGCCGAAAAGAAGTCATAGTTTGAAGGCAGAGCGGAAGGCCTTTTGCCAATTGTGTGTGGAAAGCCCCAAATAAATTGTAAATGGCGTTGAAAAGTGGCTCAAATTATGGTGAAAAGGGTTTGGCTTATATTCGAGTTTTAGGCAAGTTTATTATAAGGGATCAGCTTTATAATTCACTTGTTTTTTATGAATTAGCTTGGGTTAATTTGGAATTTATTCTTGAACATACTGTTGGCATAAAACTTGGAGAATTTTTCTAGGCTGTGTACGATGTGGTGAATAAAAATTTTTGAACATGAAATTGTTTAGCCATAGTGAACATTAAAGCTGAATCTAAAATTGTCATTTAATCATTCGTTGAAGGCTTCATTGGCTCCTGCGGTATTATCTATTCTCTGTGGGTTATCGCCTCCCGCCAACTTGTCAGCATCGACTGCCACCGTCGAGGGAATCCGGGCCTTGAGTTTCCGCTTCATCTGGGCCATAGCTGAATTGGCCAGGCTTACGCGTTTCATGATCCTGTTTAGTCGCTCATGGATATTGGAAAAAACTTGCTCCGAAAACTGAGCATCCTCTGAGGTATCCAGAGGCACCACGGCTGTACTGACGGCACTGTTGTTCCGGCTTATTTCCTGGTAGGACTCGTTACTTTCGAGTTCTTGAAATTCATCAGATTGTTCGTCCGACATTTTGTAAAAGAATATATTAGGTAATTTGACTAGTTTGCAAGAGCAGTGAAATATATCTGACTTGGTTAGATTTGGGAAATTACACTGACATAAAAAACCAAAGGCTTCCACAACAACACTGACACAAAACCCAAGGCTTCTACAACAATTTGTATTTAAAATTTCAATTACCCAAGTTTAACGCACAAAATGATATTAAATCGATTTGTTGAAAAACAAATATTCGTATGAAATGCAAGACTTCGGGAGTAATTCCTTGAGAAAATGCAAAGTCTCTCAAGAAAGTTTACCCCATTTGGCATGTAATCAACTGTGAAATGTGTCCAGCAGGGTCATAAAATCAGAAATCAATTAAAACCATTTAAGAGTGAGACGAGCAAAGAATATGGATGCCGAGAGTCGATGCCAGGGCACAAGGCAAATAAATCTCTGAAACGACTCTGAAAAGGAGCGCACACTCCGGGTGGCGGGATAAAAGTTGCCCCACAGCTGAATGAAGCGAGCGAAATCAAAGTCTATAACTTAACGACTGCAATGAGAATGATGCTGATGCTGATGCTGATGCTGATGACGATGTCGACGATGTGAAACGCCCTCAAGGGCGAACACCCGTTTCGCCACCCACACCATCCCGCTCTTGGAGGTTGGAGTCCCAACGCAGAAAACAGAGACAAAGCCGAAAAAGACGGAAATGCAGCATTCATTCTCTCGCCATTTTCCCCTTTCACACCCCGCCGTTCCATCACTCTGTCAGTCTGTTTTTCGCCTTCATGTGCTAAATATTTGCCAGCCATTTCTTTATATTCCTCTGGCCTTTGTCGCCAAACTGGATTCCCATCCTGATACCCATCGCTTTGCCACATCGTAATAAAGCAATAAATCTGCGGAGGAACTGCTCCTCCTTTATAATAAATTCCTTTACGCATAAAAACACTTACAAATGAGTTTTTGTTCAATGGAATAAATGGCATGTCGCTATAAGTACGTAGATATATCTATAACAATGTCGCCATAGCTTCGAATGCATGTTCACGACTGCACCCAGTCAGAGTCACACACTCGGCTTTCTATTTATTCTGGGATTCGCTGAATCCACTATTGATAATGCCATTTGGCATTTGCCTTGCGGCTGGGCTTTGACTTTTGCGACGTCTTTTACTTTGTGGGTTTCCTATTGAAAACTCGTTGCGCTGCTAAGAAGGCAACATTTTTCAGCTGGGCCCTGTTTTTACGCTTGTATCTTTGGGCAAAGTTTAGGGTTGGTAGGGGATAAATTGAATTTTGGGGATATGAATGGGGTTAGAGGCCCTATTTGGAATTGACTTTGGTGCTTGAAAAGTTTGAAAATTAAATATTTTATTTAAAACACACTATAAGTGATTTAAGTAAATTTCAAATGTTCTGGTTTAGAGAACACAAATAGATAAATATTTTTTCAACAGCATTTGTAAGGAAATTAATGGGTACAATTACATAAACTAATTAAGCATACATTTTGCTTTTAAAATAAATCTTGAAAGTAATTTATTATTCAACATATTAAGATGCTTATTTATTTAATTAATTAATAGTTTTCTTAAGAAAGTTAAAACTTAGGTATTTCTGCAACTTTGCTTAACTATTTAATTACATGTAATTTGAAACGTGTTTCTAGGACATTTCACATTAAATATAAAAATAAACGTCTTGCGATCAATCTAAATTATATGTAAGATACACATTGCCAGGGAATAACCCTCTTTAATACCCATATAATTCTTATGCTCCGGAAACTCGAGCTGTTCCCTAATCTGCTGTCCAAATCACTTGGCAACATGTTGCGCAGCCAACTAATTGATGATATAATTGAATGGTCTAAGACCATTTCCCACTTTGTTATGTTCCTGTTCCAGGTCCATGGCCCATATCCCCTATCAAAGGCAACATCTGTCAGACCCATCACAATAAATAACCATATAGTTATAGTTGAGTTTCCTGCATTAAAATGCCATCATGCTGGAGATTAATGTGAAAAGGTCACGCCCAGCTCCTCGGGAGGTGAAAGCCATTCACTTCAGTGAGACATTGACATTTGCTGCTGGCTTTTCCTTTCCTTTGTTTTTGTTACTCAGGCTCTGCTGTTTCACTTTTGTGTATTGTTGGTGCCGCAGGACGCGACAGATGAGACACGTGACAATGTCAGGGCAAACATAAATGCCGTGTGTCAACATCCAGATCGCAAAAAGAACTAAAGTGAAAATGTCTCTTTATCAACTTTCGGGAGAAATCCTGACAAGTGCACGGAGAAAAAGTGCCCTAAAGTGAACGTGAGCTGGTTTTCGACAAAACATTTTATTTTTTTTAATATTTTCTTTTTAAGAGATTTCTAATTAGTTTTCGTTAGTTATCGTGTTTCTGGCATTCATTTTGTAACGGTTCAGTTTGAGATCAAATACATTTTCTAGCTCAATTTAAAACATCAAATAATTCACTATAAAATATTTGAACATAATTATATAAATCATATTGATTAGCCCGTCATAATACATTTAATGTGGGTATTTAACTTAAATAGTAAGAAAAATGTAAATTAGGTTTGGCTTTGAATATTTAAATTTTGATATTAACAAGGATTTTGTTTAAATCTCTGGATATTTATTTTTAAACCAAAGTCATAGACAAATACTTCGTTAAAAAAAAAAAAACAAATAAAAAATAACTTATTAAAAAAAAAAGGTAATAACTAAAATATTGTTTTCTTACAAAATATTTTCTTAAAACGTTATTATCTTTTGTGTGATAAAAACTAAAATACCCTATAAGCTACATAAAATCCCCAGCTTAACTGTATCAAAATAAATATGTTTACCAAATATAAGTTGTTCACAAATAATTCCCTAACACAATTTATTAAGATTAATATATTTTTGGAGCTAAACAGCCATTCTTTCTTCTGTGTGCAGATGTGTTCGCTCTTCTTTTCGGCTTTTTGGGGAATTTTTGCTGTAGTTTTTACATTTGTCTTAATTAGGGGGTGGCGGTCTGAGAAATAGAAGTCACTTGAAGAAATAGGCTTGAAGGGCCATCAGATGCCGCTGGCACTTGGCACTGACTTCTCTGACTTTCTACGGGTTTTCTCTCCTCAGCATTTCTCCGCTCTTCTGGGGCACACGTGTGCGACTTAATGGCAACACTTTCGCACCCTGCGAGACCTAGTATGCCGCTCATGTCTGTCTGTAATTTATATGGCTGCTTGAGTGCCACAGCACTTCCCCGTCCGCCCACAGACGTTTTTGCCTAGCAAAATTTGTTATTACGTTGAATTAAACTTGAAAAATGTGTTAATGGGCTCGTTCTGTCCTGTTCACACCAACTGTCGCTCCGACCAGGCAACTTAATTAAATTCCACAATGATTTTGTTATTTCGCCATGTAGCAACAAGGCAACTTCTTGCCTAACTACAATTACCAAAGATGCCAGAATGCAGTGTACGACATGGCGTATGTGTGATATTTGTGTGCTTCGCTCTTTCCGTAAGCGCGGCAACTTGTGACTTCATACTTTCTGTTTTTCCTGGTATCCCGTTTAATTTGTTAGCCTTAATGAGCTGTGAAAAGTGTTTTGTGCGAAAATTGGTAGATTGCGGCAGTTGAAGCAAACTGTGTGAGAAAATAATGATGATCAAAAAATAATTCTGAAGTCATGGGTTACAAGGGGAACGGAATTGGGGAGTATTTTTTGTAAGTCACATTAAAGGATTTCATTTCTACACATTACAACTTTCCTAATATTTTGCTAAGCTTACGTAATTGTTTTATTATGCAAAGTTTGTGTTTTAGGCAATAGCTGCCTTAAATATTTTTTTAACTAAAGTATATAAAACTACAAAAATAATAATTTATTTATTTTAATTTACTCGTATGCGAACATATTTTCTTAAACTGTTTCCAATTAGCATTCACAAGGACACATTGCAACTTAAAAGCCGTTTTCCCAAAAAAAATTCTTGTATTTATCATTTCGTTTTTATTGAAATTTATTCGGGTTTTAACTTTTAACTGTGTCGACATGAAAATGGTTTTACTGGTAATTAAAAATAAAACCTGCAGATTTATGTGGAACGGAAGCTCAGAAAAAAATGAAATAAAAAAGGAGAACATTTTCCAGTGGCCAACAAGGACAATGACACACAGATACCATGCAAGATTCAGTTTCAGCTGGGTGACTTGTTGCCGGAAAAGCTTTAAGCTGTAAGCCGAGTTGACTTTAATCAGATGGCAATTAACAGGGAACGGAAACCGGATGACATCGGAGTGGGTGCAAAGGGAAAAGGCGGACTTCGCATTAACGAGAAAAATTGTTCACTTTTAGCTTTCATCATCAGTTTATTGTTTTAACCTTGGGACTGAACTATTTGTTCCAGTTAACCACTCACAAATAATCAGAAAAAAGCGGTCATTGCCGCAAAAGGAAGTTTGGCCTTTGGCTTATTGCATTTTTCAAGTGTGGCCAAGTGCTACAATTATTTATTGCGATCCAGAAACACAGCCAAGGACAAGCCATCGTTCAATTATGAATATGTTTGGGGTTTAAAGTACATTTTACACACAGTATTCTGCACTTATTAAAAGTTGGCAATTTTCCTGCCCTGAGGTAGCCAAATTTCGCAACACAATTGCACATGGGAAAAATGCGCCCAATTTGCATTTGAATTTTGTGTTCCCATTTGCCGGTGTAGCTGTAACCGTATTTGTATTTGTGTTGTCGAAAACTTTCCTAAAAGATGATAAAAGGGAAGTAGTTCTAGCCGGGATGATCATCGTGATGATGATGCAGAAACGTGCGTTTGTGTAAATGAGCTGAAAAAAATTTGGGCTTTTTTGTCAGCCCTTTTCTGTTGGTTTTTGCGTAGTTTTCCTATTTTTTTGAGGGCGGCATTCATTTTTCATTTCATTTTGTTTGTTTGTTAAGTCTACCATCAACACATGGTAATTTTTTTGTGGTCTTGTTTGTTTTTCCAAAAAGGAGTAATCCGGAAATGCTGATACAATTTCTGTTTGTTTACCTAGCCGTCTTCTTTTCTTGAAGAGTTTGCCTTTTCCCATCTTGGGTGAGAAATTGTT